GCTGTATCCTTAATGCAAGCTGAAGTAACCTAGAACACAACAATGCTAAACAAGATGATGACTTCACATCACCAAGATAAACTTCTATCAGCTTTCCTTCCTTTTTACTGCCTCACTCTGGGAGCCCAGGACAAGCATCCCAAACCTTTTTGATTGATGTGTTGTGAAATCAGCCCTCCCTGGTCCAGCTCCTGCCACTGAAGCAGCTTCCTTCTCCACCACAGGTTCTCAAGGTCTCTAGACATTGAGACCTGTAAGAATAAATATCCAGGAGACAGCAGCTGTGACCCATTTGTTACTGAATGCTGCTGCAGAGCACAGCTAAGGAAGACAGGGCAGAGGAAAAGCACTTACTGCAAAGGGAACGGTGGTAAAAACCCGAGTGCCCTTGGAAGAAGCACTCTGCTTGCAGCACTGCTCCAGCTCCCAGTTGGCAACAGACAGCTTAGATCAAACATGGATGTTCAAGTACTGCCATGAGGGCTCCTCTCATATCACTGTTGAGAGGCAAAATATAAAACAAAAAACCAACCAACCAAAAAAAAAAAAAATCTACAGAAGCCAACAATGGACTGGGAGGCCACAAGAGCATCAGGTACCAAACAAGCTGATATAACTGCCCCAGTGCAGGTAAATGCATTTGGAAAGATCTATTTCAACAATAAAAATCTGACATACCTTTACCCAGAGCAGGGCACAGGCAGAGCCAGGAAGGAGAAATGCCACAGAGGGAAGCAGAGCACACAGAGCAGGCACACAAAGCCCAGCAGTCCAGCCCACAGCCGGAGCTGACCAGGAAGGCAGCACCGAGCCAAGGCTGACAGGATCCACATCAACACTTACCAGTTCAGCCTTTGCCTTTGCCATTACTGAGCAATACATACAATACATACAATACAATACATACAATAGTCTGTGTGTCCTCAGACCACCCCCTCACTCCCTGCACAGCCTCACACAGCTGCAGCCCAGCCCCGCTCTGGTCACTGATCAGAGTGTCAGGCCGGGGTGACATTGTCCCCTCCTGAAGAGGGACAGTAAGCACCTGTGAGCCCGCTCATTTTATTCACTGCACAAGCACGTTTCCAACTGGGATAATCTCCATTAAACCATCTGCGCTCCCATGCTCGCCCGGCCTGCACCCGCTGGGCTGCCTGTGATACTGCAGCATCTGTGAACCAGCACAAGCGGATGCCGCGTCCTTTCCTCAATCAGCTAAAAAAACCAACGGAGACTCAGACAGAACAGATGCACCTGGTGGCTTTGACGCGCTACAGAGCCAGGCTACCAGGAGTACCTGTGCCAGGGCCTCTTCTGAAAGGCACACAGCTCCCCTTGAGAATTTAAGTCATTTCCTTTCCATCATGGGAAGACACCATGTCCCAGATTGCCAGAAGAGGAGGGCTGAGAACCAGGTAGAGGTTTTAGCCGCAATGGTTGCCGTGGTTCAGAACAGAAGCGTTGTTTGCCAGGTCATGAACACAGTTTGGATCAGACACTCTGAATAGCTGCTGATCCCCAGGATTTAATCTCTTTTTTATCTCAGTATCTGCTTTCTAGAAACAGGGACTATCATATCACATTCCCTAATAACTTGGACAGAAAGACAAGAAAATGTTATGATGAAAGATCTCAAACTTAAATCTGCTACCCCTTCCTCACAACCTCCCCAGCGTAGCCCAGTGGAACATACAGAGAGCATGATAAAGCAGCTGCACTGAAGTGTGAATTCAGCATTGAGAGAACGTGACCCTGTCCTCAGCATTGCCAGAGACAGCCAAGGGACTTGGGAGTCACTCCAGCTGTTGAGGACATGGCAGGGTGGCAATGGGTCTGAAGCAAAGATAGAAAGCCATCGATCCGCTTTAACTGTGATCACTGCTTGCCTTAAACAAGGTCACTGGGCTGCCCAGCACAAGCCTTGCTTGGAAGAAAATTTGTCCTGCAGGGTCTTGCCCTCACAGGAGTGGAACAGCACAGCAAGGCTCACCCTTCAAACCTCCCAGGTCTTTTATGGTCCCAAAAAGGAGGCAAATATTAGCAGCAGGTGATGGGACAGGAGCGAAAAGTCTATTTACATATTTTCTGCACTTACCTTCACTTATTTGTTTTTAAAGTTTTTATTTTCCAAAGCAATTTCTAAGTAAGAAGCAAGACAACTATTTTTTCAGACAAAGGTTAATAGGGGCCTAGCGGTCTCTGAAGACTCTGCAGACATGCTTAGGTGTGAAATCTTGGAGCAGCAATAAAGATGCTGCACAGACAAGCAAGTCTCAAGAGAAGAATTTAATCTGTCTAAATATTCTCATTATGTACATAGTTTTCAGCTTCCATTCACAGTAATCAGAGCAGACACAGCTTCCAGAAGCCTTTTTAGACAATAAGGCATGAAAAAGGATTTTTATGTCAATCATTATTCTTCTCTCCATCCCCAGCTTGAAGAATCAATGTTTGAAATGGTTTTTTTTGAAAAGAAAATGTGGTGTTGGGAGAAAAAAAATTGACAGGAGGAAGGCAGCATGGATCTTTGGGCAGATTGGTGGGACTCAGCACAAAGCAGCTCCCATTGGCACCATTTGTCCAGAAAACTTCAAATAGATTATTCTCCTCCAAAATAGGTTTTCTGTAGGGTCATGCTCAGAGTATGAAATATAACGCTACTTCCAAAGAACTGCTTCACTGGAAAGGGCAAGAAGTTTCAGTTACATCCACACATCTTCCTCCTAAAAGTCACTTAAACCTAAATACAGTACTAAGATAAGGGAGGAAAACTAGAGGCAGGCATCTAGGACAAAAGGGCTGATCCAAAAACCCAGCTGCTTTCTTTTGGGATCACAGTGTCCATCTGTCCCCTTGCCACAGGGGAACTTGTTTGGAAAAAGAGACCTTGTTTGTCCACTGAAACGTGGAACCTGAATTATTCCATCAGGCAGGAGTTCAAAAGAGAAAGTTAAGAAAACAGAATAGTTCTCTATGGGTATGATCCCCTGGGATCAAGAGAAGCTGTGCTCCTGATGCATCTCTCCCCTCTTCACTTTCATGTTGCATTTTCCCCTTCAGACAGGCAGGTTTCAGCTTTTCTGGCATGTTCAAAACTCTACTTTTATACACAAGAAGCTTGGACAAAATGTGTAAAGATAATTACAATGGTTTACTACTAATTTTTTTCCTTGAAGTCAAGTGACTTCCTTGCCCTGTGCTCCCATTCCCAGGTTTCTCTCAGAGTTTAAGAGTTCAACCGGTCACTAGTTGTCCACACTGCAAACAGGACAGTGGGAAAAATATTAACCAGGACAGCAGATGAAAAGTATTAGCCAGCACAGCCCCTTCAGAGGCAGCCCAAAATCAAAGCCAGGGTCAGTACTGTGGTCTGAGTGTTTTATAAATTATTACATCCCTTATCCTTCTCTAAAGATCAACATCCTCTCTGTTTTCTGGAGAATGAAATCACACAGGTCAAGCAGGGAGTGGAACCAGAAGACCTGGAGGCAGAATAAGTCCCAGTTTACTCCCATCCTCACATAGAAAAAAGCATTAGACTTCTAACAGAAAAGCAGAACTTAATGCTGACACCCAGAAGTATCCTGAAAATAGTGATTGTGAGAACTGATCCCCACCACTACAGACTGGTCTGCTCCCCCACAAACAATCCCACCCTCCATCTAAGAGGGCACAGGGAACAACATTGAAGTTCATCCCAGACTGAGCAGGAAAGGATTAACCACTAGCAAAGCCTTTGGAGATATTTATTCTCCAAATCCACAAGACAAGCAGAGGGAAAAGCTCCTCTGAGAGTTGTGTACACAGACTGCAAGTCTAATGCTTACACAGTCTTAGTTTTTTTAATTTTGCAAGTCCTAACAACAATTATCTTCATGAATTATAGACATAATGTCCGAGAGACACAGGCAGTAATTAATGCATGTCTGCCTTTTCTGACTAGCTCCTTCTGCTGGGTCAGGGAGAGTTATTGAAATTCAGGAAGGAAATCTTCAATCTTCTAGAAGTTTTAAAGAAACAGACCAAGGCAGAATTTAATAAAGCAATAATGTTTCTCTTAAATAATTAACTAGATTTTGACATTCACTAATATTTCTGAAGCCCAGCTCTTACTTTTGCAGTAACACTGGATGTGATCCACTGCATGTTCAAAATGTACTAACTCCAAAATTACCTCTGGATTTCTCTGCACACATGAAGCCACCCTCATTCCTTTTACTTAAAATTCTCACTGAGACCCTTAACAGAAGCCACACTATGCAGCACTAGCATCCTTCCCTCCTCCCATTTTGCCCTCCCCACATCTGTCTCTGAATACAAGCACTCAGCACTCCCCAGGCTCTAGAGAAGCCATGTTCATCATCCTCTGGGAAAAACCCTGGGTTCAGAGCAGAACCCCAGCACAGCATTAGATGCAATAGACAATCCTAAACTAGACAAAGCTATTACTAAGGCAGTGTATAGCACTGAATGTTGTCTAAGCTGGTTGTTTCCATCATCTTTCAAGTAACAGATTCTCCTACAGTATTAACAATTTTATTCACATAAAGAATGGACTCAATGATCCTTCTGAGTCCCTTCCAACTCTGGGTATTTTATGTTCTAAAGCATTCAAGTGAGTTTAATATACTTCAGTATTTTGACAACAATTACCCCCAAGGAATATTACTTAGCCAGTCACTGAAAAACCCAGTGAAGAAAAACCCAGCCTTTGGCAAAAACATCTCACCTGGTTAAGCAATATAAAACTACACACCAAGATGGACAGAACTCAAACTCAAAACCATAAGGATCGTTCTGACAGCAAACAAGTTCAAACACAGCCATGTCACCAAGAATAGGGAGGGAGTATTTGGCCAAAAGAGTCAGACTCAACCAAAACTTTCATATTGTGTTGCTCACTTGAACTACATTATTTCTACAAGGAAAATGAAAAATCCCTATGCACTAGAAGCAGAGTTTAAATTGCAACAGTGGTCATCCCAATTCTAGAAGCTCACCAGATACAGCCTGTAAGCATCAATCCTTCGAATTGGCCCCCAGCACTTGTCTGTGTCGTTGTACTTTGTGCCATCTCCAACACTGCAAGAATGGTTGCCAGTGACACTGCTGGGAAAGGAGGGAGAAACAAACGACAGTAATTAACTCCTAGCAGATGTCTTCCCCTTTCTCCTGCATTCAAGAAAGAAGAATGAGCAGAGGCCACTCCTCCTCTTTGACCCTGACCACACTCACTGCCTTAGATTTTCTGGACTATGTAACACAGCAAGTCACTGAGTACCAGAGATTTAAAGGCAAATTCTTAAGTTATTTGCAAGTTTCATCATTTAATCATCAAGGTGGTAAGCTTAGATCTTTTATGGATTGCTAAGGTTTTCCATTTTCAAGATAAAAGTCCAAATCCAGCCCAGATTTGATCAAACTGATCTTTTTTATTATCTGTTTCTTTGAGAAAGGCACCACTCCCAGACCAGAGCTAAGTCCATATACCATCACCACTCACTGGCCTTAGGCTTAGTAAGCATCACACCCCTCCACTCTTACTTATCCACAGAGACAGAGAAGGCTACATATTGCAGAGTATTGCAATCAAACTATGGAGCAACAAGTCTCATGTCTTGTGCTGAAGCTGGAAATACTTTCCACCTGAGGACTTGTCTGGAATCAGGTCAGCTACTTTGCAGGCAGGCAGCAGGCACTCAGGCAGGGAATACAAAACAACTTCACCTCCCACCCACAAGAGAGGAGCTGTCTTTGAGTCATTTTTCCACCCCACGCTTTGGTAAGTACAGCTGATCCTAGTCAGACTTATCATCCCATCAAACCCTAAGTGTGCCCTGTTCCCTGGCAGCACACAGCCCCACAGAAGTAAGCACACTTACCATGTCACCTGCATTAGGGATACTGGCACTGCAGCTGCATAGATTGCCAGATCTCCATAGAGGTAGATAATTATGCAGAAATAGAAGAGGTTGACACCCACTGCAGAAAAAGAAAATATTGTCCAAATTCAGCAGAGCACTCTTGCTCTCTGCATTTCAAATAGACAAAATTCTTAAGATCTTAATCACCATTTGCCTCCATAGTTTCTGCAGCAAACTCCACCCAAGCCCAGGGAACTTACCATGGAACAGGAACTGATGGGGCACGAGGGGCCTCAGAGCTCCACTCTGCTTCCTTCAATACCTGGCACTGACACTAAATAAACCCTCTAGTTCAAGCCCATCCTGCAGTCAACGCCAACAGGTCTCATATAAGTCACCTGCCAGACGAAGCTGTCAGCTCTGAGCAGCCACAGGCAAACATCCAGGTGATGCTCTCAGACTCAGTGTGAGCACAGCCTGACAAAGTGAAATGCAGAGAGAATGTTTTTAGGCTCTGTTGAATCCAAATCCTCTGACTGCAAACCTGCAGGACCTTCACAATATGGATTTGTTGGGATTTGGCGCTGCAGAGCTCACATTCCAATGGGCTGAAATGGAGCTGCTTTGGGAGATTCCCTACCACTGGCAACTTGAGCCTAAGTACAATCCTGCAAAATTTTAAACCTGTTTCTGCATCCCACTTACCCTGATGCTACCACATACACTGTTCCTGCCCCTAGTCATTTTTTTGTGTTTTTTCTCTGTTTTTTGGTAATTTTTTTAAAAAATTATTTTTAATTTAAAGATTACCCTGCCTTCACCTATAAGATTAAAAGAAAATCTTACACAAATGAATTGGGTGCACAGAACAGCCTTACTGAGTCACAACAAGATACTGGTGGGAAGGGCTAAAATCTAAAAGGATAAAGAAATGCTTGGTGAGGCTCCAGGATTCTCTTCTTGCAAGCATTTCACCAACAAATTGGAAGACATTTTATTTCAGAGTCAGATGAGTTACAGAATAAAAGCCTCAAATTTATTTAACTTAGGAAGTTGACGTTGAAGGGAAACAGCTCAAGAAACCTGCCCATACTTTCAAGTTGTGATGCCACCTGATGCTTAATCCCAGTGCAGCTTGATCCAACCTCACACTCACAGCTGTGACAGCTATCAAACAAGGACAACACCGATGCAGGAATGAGGACTCATTCCTACAGTGCTTGGGTGCTCCAAAGCTTTACCATGTTCTTCCATCATATTGCCCCTGGATCTCTGATGTCAGGAAACATTATAAGGCATTCTCCTTTGTTTAAATAACTTATTCCATATGCTGAGCCTGCTTAGCATGAAAGGGGCTATATCAGGAAAGCACTGAGAGAACTTCCCTGCTTCTGTACAGTAGCACACTAAATCAGTGCTCTAGTTCTGTTCCTGGAGACAAATGGACTTACTACAGAAATTGTCAGATCATTCAATATAGTTCTCCCCTTGCTCTGTGAAAGATGTCTTCACAGTTAGGGAGTCCCTGCATTGTTCTGGAGACAGCAACAAACTACCTACCAGTCTTCTCCAATTTCCCATTAAGAAGGTTTGAAGGTTTTAAAAAATATCTGACATAGGGCAGAAGCTGCAGGGACACAAAGCTCAGGACTTTGAAGACTCAGACAGATATTCTGTTTTGGGATCTGTGACTGGTCTCAGGACTCAGATGCTCCCCACACACAAAATAAAGCTGACATGACCACAGCAGCACCCTCATTCCAATGCAGACATCTCTGTCTGCAAGAAGCACAGGTGACACTCCTTTCTCAAACTCATCCTTTCCAAGACAGGAAGATTTTAGCAGCAGTTATTTTATAAACTGCTGCTGACCCTCCCTGATCAATACTTTCATTACTGGGCACAAAATGGGGTGAATAAAAAAAGCAATTACTTCCTGTGAGGAAAGAGCATGATAGATGTGCCTAGAATCTATTACTGCAATAAATGACTGCTCAGTCCTAGAAGAAAGCACCCAACATTAAAAAATAAAAAAAATAAATCAAGGAAAAAAGTAGTTTTTCAGAGCCAGCTCTTTCAAAAGAGCACACAGTCTCCTCACAGCCTAAACCTAAGTCAGCTCCCTTTAAGAAAGCAATCTGAAATTGAGATTTATCCCCAGCTTACCTCCTAGGACTGCAGATTCAACTTCTGTCAGATTGTTGAAAATAAAAATCAGCCAAGGGAAAGGAGCAGAGAACTCACTAGAAATCAGGGGTTTTGAGGTCTACTGCACAGTTTTCATCAGCCTTCCCTCTGTAGGCTGTAAAGCCCTCCATCACCTTGGGTTTGGATCCCTATTTTGTGTATCATGAGTAAACACCCAGACATTTACCAGCTGTGAAAGCTCACAGGCTGGTGCTTGGAGCTGGGAATTCCCCAGTGTGGCCCAGTTTCTCAGCACTAAGTGGTCACTGAGCAGCTGCCCTGGCTGAAGCCCTTTCTGTGCAGCTGTGGGGAGGGAGCACCTCAACGGGGACCTGCAGAGGGAGGTCCTTCACCTGTCTGTCTCTGCAGCCACTTGCCGGCTAGAGGGTGTCTCTGAACCAGTGAGAGGGATGGAGCTTACTGCTGAGCTCAGACAAAGGAAAAGCAGAATATGAGTTACAGCTGCCCCAGGGCCTTGGCTGTGGGCACCTCATCCCATCTGGAAGTCACAAGTAGGGTCAGGCCATGGCCTGCAACTGTTCCGGACACCTTCCTGCAGATGGATTCATCCCTTTCGATGGGCTGAGGAGACCCTGGGGAGGATCCCTAACACAGAAATCAGATAACTGGCTAAAGCAACATTAAGAAGAAGGATTAAGATTTAAGAGTACTAAGCAGTTTATTTCACTTTGCTCAGAAACTAAATCAGTGCAGATGGAGAGAGGACACATATTCCCAGCACCCTCTACTGGCTGAGCACCAGAGAGGCCCAGAATCTGCCTGACTTCTGGTGGTTCTTTCCAGCTCCCCTGTGAAGCACATGCAAAGAAGGGGCCTCCTGAAACTTGGTAAGAACACTCTGACTGCTGTGATCCCCATCCCTCCACGGGCAAACCTCAGCAAAACTGCTAAACCCTGTTATATGATTGCTCTCAAAGCACTTCTCAAATATTACTCCTCAGAGAAACATCAAGAGACAGGGATGTGTTCACGGTATTTTACACACAGCAAAGCAAACAAGCAAGAAAACTTGCCTAAGGTCATAACAACTCAGTGATACAGGCAAGACCAGGAACAAGATGTTTCTGACACACTTCACTTCTCTGACTAAAAACGTGGCAGCCGAGTCCCAGGTGTATTATTTTGATAATCCTAAGTGATTCAAATCTATAAAATCACAGAAGAGGCATGCAGGAAAATGATAAAGTTTTTTTTTCAATTAACTTTAAAATCAAAATATAAAGTTCAAAGAATATTCATTCCTTAAGCCCAGCTGTCCTTCAGAGGCAACAGCTTTTCACTGGCATAACACTGATGTAATGCAGTGGAAAAAACCTAGCCTTCCATCACCCCTTTGCAAGGTAGCCAGCAAACAAGGGAAAACATCACTTTCCAGAAAAAACAGGGCCTGACAGGCTCAAAACTGCACAGCCATGGTGTCTGATGATGTTCTGGCTCTGCACAGTATTTCATTGTCCTTTTTTGCAGGTTTCAGAATCCTCATCACGATGGTTTGCGTTTCTATCACATGCAGCAATAGGTTGGGTTTTATTAGAGCAGGGTTACAAGTTTGTTCCCTGGCATGCAAAAGATATTTAAAAGCAAAAAGACAAGCCAGCTGTCTATCATATCCTCAGCAGGGACCTCTTCAGCAGTTCATGTCCCAGCACTCTTGATGATTCCCCAGATGCAGACTATTCCTAGAAGCTCCTATCAGAAGTCTCTCTTCTTCAGACTGCTGTTTACAAGGCTCAGGGAAGCCTGAATGTCTTATTCTCAAATGCTACAACCAAAATGCAACCAGAAAACACTATAGCCAGGCTCTACTGCTTCAGACAGTGGAGATTATAAAGGACAGATGCAGTTCAGAGGTAAGTGAAGTGCAGTCAGAAAAGGCACTGACACTTGCCTGTGTCAAGAAACTGCTCCCATAACCTGCAGTGTTTTGCTGGTTCCATGCCCACCACAGCAGGTTCTGGCCTACCTGGCCCATAAATACTTCATAGAAATCCCACACAGGAGGATGAATTGAGTCCACAGAGAGAAGGAACAGCACGTTTGGGTGGAATTATCACAAACTAAGGATGCAAACCCACACTGAGAAGCATTCAAATTTATAGAACAGCCATACACACAACGTGCAGGAGGACTCAAAGGGACTTTTGATAATGTTCATCACTTACCTTTATTGAAAAACATGGAAGCCATCTGGCCCATTTCAACCCTCTCAGTAATTTCAAAGATATTGGCTGAGCCACGTCTCTCTGTAAATTAAAAAACAAGTGTTTCAACCAGTGCCTCCAATAAGCCCTGAGGCCACATTACTTGGATACTTGGGAAGCTCTAGCAGCAGTTTGAAGGACAGTATGTACAACTCCACAGCTGCAGTCACTGGGCCAATTACTCTGCTGAAGCTAGTTTAAAGGTGTTTTGAAAATAAGATGTTCTCATCTTAGTGACCTAGAGAGAAAAGATCTGTATCAGGCTGCAGAAGGCAAACTGAATTCTCAATGAGTCTTATCTTCCAAGTGCTGAGGACTTGGGGATGAGAGCATGTGGAAATAAGGGTGAAATGGACAGAGGAGTCCATTGGAACACTGTCTGCAAAGAGGCCTCACACCAGTGAAAGTATGAACTGGATACTCACGAACTGACAGGATAGGCCGTGTCTCTGCTCGCTCGTAGCCGTCTTGGAGGAGAACATCACTGTCAGACACTCCAGAGGAAGAATCCTCATCTTCATCATCCTCCTGGATGAAAAGACCAGACCACTGCTGAGGTATCTGCTACCCACAGCATAGGCTGTGACACCCCCAGTGTCATGGTCACTTCGAGACACTCAAAGGAAGGTCCCAAACAGGGAGGGAAGGACATGCAAGCAAAGGCAATACCAGGGAACCCAGGGGATGCTGTGGAGGGCAGAAGAGGAGGACACTAGCAGAGCAGGCTGAAGTGAGTGACAGGCTCTGCTGTGCCAGCCCCAGGTCTCACACACACACACACCCACACCCACACAGCAGCACTGCCCAATTCAGGTAGTGATAAGTGACACAAGGAAGTTGGAAACTTCAGGCAGATCTGCAGTATTGCAGAACTGGGAGAAAAATAAAAATAAATCCAAGCATATCTAGCCAGCACAAGCAGGCCTAGTTCCTAACTCCATCCAACTAACATCAATCCAGGGGTCTAAATCAGTGCAAACAATTATGCCTCCCTCTGAACCAGTAAAGCCACAAGTAAGTTTTACAGCAAGGACATAATTCAGAACTGTCCACAACCTGGGATACTGCCCAAGTAACAGCAAGGACATCCCAGCCTGTCCCAGTAAAATGACCTGAGATCAGCAAGGATTTATAGTCCTCAGCACACTCTAAATAGCACCAATATATTGGCTGCCACCCCTCCACATTCATTGAGCAGCGCTTCTGGGCAAAGAGAGCATGATCAGTAAGAAATGTGAACAGCACAAGAGATTTTTCAACGCAGGAGCAGAAAATCCTGTATTTAATGAGCAGCCCCACAGGGAACTAACAGCTATATTTTATATGGCAAAGTTAAGTACAGTAGAAATTTATTTCTTTAGAGTTAGTAACGAGGCAAAGATGCAGAGGAATGCCAGGAAAATCCAATGCACAGAACAACAGGAGGAAAAGGAGAATTAAACCTCACACAAACCTTGCGTTTTTCCATTCTCTTCCATCTCAGCTGGGCATTTGCAGCAGCCATGGCTTCCACCACAAAGGTCGTAGTCATGTAGCTACAGAGAGAAGAATTCAATTGAGATCATCAGTAATAGTCAAGAACTGTCCCTGAAGAGAGATGGAGAATAATTCCCATCTGTTTGTAGGAGCAAACAAACAAACCAAAACAATCCTTTTACCAGCTCCCCCTACACTGTTTTGATAATGCTTCATCTCAGTTTATTGCTCCCTTTTGCTCTTGAGATTCAGGTGTTCAAGCAGATCACAATATACAGTAAACTATAACACACTTTCAGATATAATATGTCACTTTAGATATTTGGAAGGCACATTTGTGGTGTTCCTGTATGTTGAAGGCAACAAGAGAACTTTGACCTTTGCAAGAAAGCAAGTTTCCTTCCGCTTTTTAGAACCTAGGACAAACCCAGTTGTAATCTGAAGCTCATGGCAAAGGACTCTGGTCCCTTAAAGAATCTTACACATGGCATCAGAAGCAAAGCAGCAATACAAGAACAAGGAGCACATCACATATCACACATGCAGACAAATACTGGAGGCCAGTGAAAAAGATGTCCAGGGAGACAGGGAGACCCACTGATGGAAAGAATACCATTATCTCAGCTAAAACAAGTCCTATAATATTAATCAATAAACTTTAAAACCCCCATAAATCAATCTTACTTAAGGCTTTAAAGTGGTTTCTCACTACTTCAGGAACTGGACTCACCTATCAAGCTCAAATAAGAGATTGGTTTTACAAGAATAAAAGTGCTGAGGCCTGTGTAGCAATTTCCGCCCAGGCTTTTCCTGCACCAAAGGCACCCAGTGGGCATGAGGAAGTCACAAGCACCAAAATAAAAGCAACAGAGCTCCCAAGACATGCAGTACTTTGAGCTGTGTCTTCTCAGCTTAATCCAGTGCAGTTCTGGTGCACAGATTTGGAGGTTTGTGCTCTCCTGCTGACCTTGAAGGATGGTCTGCTGGTGCTGAATTCCACATACTTAATTTATGCTTTTAAACTAATGGTCCTGGTTTAGGGCAAATTTGGGAGAAAACCTCTAAATGGGGTCCCACCAGAAAGCAAATTCAAGCAGCCCCTTCCCCAACTGGTTTGGGAAAATATTTCCTTAGAGAAAGGTGGAAAAAAACCTGTTTATTTAACAGAAATTGAATAATATTAAACAATAAAACCTCCTGCTGTTCAAAGAGATGGCACATCCAGAAAAGTCCTTGTCGTGAGTTGTAGCCCAGCTCGCTCAGTCTCAGTCCCTCCAGCACTGGAACGTGCCAAGGCCCAGGCCCTTGTGGGCCACAGGCGTGAGCTCCTGTGTTTGTCTGGGTTTTCAGTCCAGAGCAGGTTTGAACAGATTCAAGGAAAAAGATAAAAAACAGTCCAGGGAACTTCTCTGCCTCAGCTAGGTAAAAACTAACAGCAAAGGAGAGCTCTGTCCTGCTGCAGACAGCACAGTCCAGGAGCAGGATGTGGGGGAGTGAGGGCTCTTTCTCAACACAAACTGTGCACTTCTTTCCCCCCGTTCACTTTCAGAGCCAGTTTTAAAGGTGCAGAACTTAATATGTAACAAACAACATGACTGGGGATACAAGCATCACAAAGTCACTCTATGACAGTAACTAAAAGGAATTGCTTATAAAGCTCCCAGTTACTGGTAAGACCACAGATATCATTTTACCAAGCCTTTGCAGCACCCAGCTCTGAGGTGGGGCACTCACAAGCATTTGACCATACAGTGTCCCTGAAGAGCAGCACAGAACAGATCCCAAAAACTCTGTCTCCAAACCAAAGGCACATTCAGGCTGGCAGAGCTGGTTACTGAAAAAGCTGGCACCTCAAAAGTCCATTTGTACAAATGGCAGGAGAGAATTTTGTTTTATTTTATATTAAAACCAAGCAAGAAGTAAGCAGGGATTCCCGGCCCACCAGAAGATGGCAATTGTAGCAGTAACTCCTTAGAATTCAGTGCTGTATCCACAGCCTTCAGCTCCACCTGCTGCTCCAGCAGGGAGGCACCTGGGCAGGGGCTCACAGTGAACCAGCTCAACAAACAGGGGGCCATCTCCAAGGTCTTGAGCAGCAAAGGTCTGGAGGGGCTAAAACAGGCCTGGCTATACAGGAATTTGTGTTCCTGACACTCTTGCAGCTGTGAGAGAATTGCCAGAAGCCAAGAGAAAACTTACACATATGCAAATCACGAAGCAAAGACTTGACTCTGTGCCACCTGTGACCTGGTTGGTGTTTGGGGAACTGATCTGAGACAGAAGCAAGCATGGAATGTATCCATAATGAAGACAATGTCAAAAAGGTAGCTGGGATACAGATCCCAAAAGACTCTGGACTGGAGGAAAAGTCCTTCCCGTAAGTCAGGAAATGGGATGTACCAGAGAGTCAGGAAGTACATCCCTCTAAATCAGGTCCACAACATCACCACAGAAACCATCACTCAGCAGAGGGACAGAGCACACAGGAAAACAGCAAAAGTCTCTACACTGTCCACACCCAGCTGAACCTCCCAGTCCCCTAAAGACACACACACATCCTACCTCATAAATCCCAAGAACATCAGGAGGATGAGGCTGACAAGCCACCCTGCTGTGGCAAAAGCCTTGGGCATGGTCAGGGCTCCTGTTCCCACGATGAGGTTGAACATATACACCAGGCCAACCTGCAATCAGCCACATGATCCAGCATCAGAGTATGCCAGGAATCATCCAAAACACCTCACAACCAACCTGATTTAGATGGAGAGGGCAATCCCTGAGCCAGCAGGATGAGAACAAGTCCATGTGAGAAATAACTGGAGGAGGGGACCAAAATCCAGAGAGAACAATGTGGGTACCAGCACATTTCTGGAGAAACTGATATATCCTTCCATTTTTCTAATTATTTTAAATTATTATTTTCTCTCTAGATTGTAAAGTTATAAAGTACATGAGATTTTTTTTTGTTTGTTTTAAAATCACTGCCTTCTACCAGAAGGTCCATGCTGTGGGCTGGGGTCTCTCCTTTTTTTTCTGACCTGAACACAAGTAGTTATGACTATGTATCTTTCAGGACCTTTTATTTATGTCAAGCAGGAAATATCCAATGAGAATTCTAATTCAAAGCCTGCTTGGCATTTTACATTTTTTTATTTTCAGTAAGAGGCTGAACATATTCTAAAGGAGGGATTTTACTTCCTGAAGGGAAAAGATTTTATCTTCTGTGGCAATAAGCTTTTCCAATGTCCAGAGACAAAAGAGAACTCTGCACTTGCACAGGACTCCCCACACTATGCATTTAGCTCAATTCAAGATCAAAAACTGCCAGAGTTGTTGTGCTTTAGTGTTTTGGGGTTTTTTTTTAAATATAGGACAGAGTCCCTCCAGAGGAAAGCCAGTAAAGAGCGGTGTATGGGCAGACTTTTCTTGGGCATGGAGCAATTAACATCAGGAGAACTATTCCCCAGTGACCCTGAGAGCACTTCACTGGCATATGCACAGCAAATTCATCTTTTGCTGAACATCCCACAATGATCATTTTCTTTTGGTCAAGCAGAAATGAGAATGGTGCCTGCAGGGTTCAGCCTGGTTAGACATCTTTAGGGAAAGAGGAGAGTCTCAGCCTTTGAGATTACTCTAGGAAGTTCATGCAGCACCAGCATAACAACATAAGAACATAAGATCAGGTGACATTAATCCTTGAGGGTCCACACATCCCAGTTACTGTCTTACTTCTCCATTTTTTTCAGTTGTGACCTATTTCTGCAGCCTAATATTAATTTCTTCTACATTTTATCATTAACATGGAGATGAAAATTTTAAAGCATTGAAAATCCAACACACAGATTTCAGGGCTGGTTCTAAATTTATTGAGTTCACTTAAAAAAAAAGTGTTTACAAAGTGGTGTTTTTAAAAGCTGACGTTTTGTGAAGACTTGTGGCTATGAAAACCAGTATTTCCAGTAATATAGGAAAGCAGTAATTTGCCCTGCAGTTGCACAGGACACCACATTACAGGGTAGAAACCTCTTAATTACTCACTTTCAGCAAAGTGGTATAAAACAAATTACTGTAACAGCTGCAGCTAAGTAAACTTTGAGAAATTCAGGGGAAAATATTTATATAAAGCAACAAAAAGGAAGAAAGTGGGATAGTTTCAATGTCCCAGTCCCCCCTGTTTATGCCAATGACAATTTGGGTTGATGAAAACATTAACAAAATGTAAAAAACTGGGCAAAATGATGAAGAGCTGGTATGGGACATGAAGCTCTTTTTAGCAATTTTAGATCTATACTTTAAGCACACATCATCCCTTTACTTTAAGAAAGGTGATCTGTGATGTAAAAAAAAACCCATATAACTACAAACACTAAGCATTTTTAACCACCCTTTGACCTCCATCATCTCCTGAAATGCTGAGGTTATGTCCATGAAGAAGTAAGACTTGCAAACACAATGCTGTGGAAAGACAATTTTGAAAAACAACCTGTAACCAAACCTTCAAGTAGTGGAACTTACATAGGGAGAGTAAAGCTCTCCAGTGTCAGTGATGCCACCTGCCATCCTGGAGAGGGAGGGGAACCCCAGAGCAAAGCCAGCAGGGTATTTCTGGGAGGGTGTTTTCAACTTCTGTTACCTTTAATCTAGGGAAACATCATAACACTGTGTTATCTTTGCTGGAAAAAGGAAGAACTTACAAGTTAGCTTTGGCATATCAGTTTTCTGGTATTTGAACAGATTTCAGCAGGATCATGCCCTTCAGACAGACCCCACTCACCAGCACCACTTGGTTCAATACTCTGTGAGAAGTTTTCATACCCGTTAAACTGGTTGAAAAGCAACCAAAAGGCCCTGCCCTTTCACAGCATGTGATGACCAAACTTCATCTTCTCCAAACAGCCAGAGGGGCTGTTCCAGACAACTAAAACCTCAAGAGGAAAAATTACTGCCTTGAGGATGATCTCAAACTGCTGCTTCTCATGCAGCTACTACTCCTTGCAAACATGTGCCTCTTGCAAATCAAAAAAACAGCCTAAAATCACTCCTCTTAAATTCAAGTACAGAAATAAGTAGACAAATGAAAATATCGGACCTATTAAAGACACCCCAAGATGCTTTTCATGCACCAACATTTCCAAAGCAGAAGCATTTGGGAAGCTTTACATTGTTTCAAAAAAACTAGACGTGTATGAGGGAACTGAAGCTTCCTAGAAGTCTTCAGTGGCAATGATTAGCCACAATTGAATTAAGGGCTTCACACTTCTGTGTGAATGTGCTCCTCATCAGCCACACCAGCTGGGACAAATCATCAGCATAAGCTGAACTCAACTAAAAAACCCAGTTATAAGCTTGTACACCCATGCGGAATGCAGGCAGTATAGCTCACTGAGGTCATAACTAGACCAGCCTCAGAGGAAGAGTTTAAACGCCACCTTTTATAACAAACCTCGGCTCAAAACACAGAAGCCAAGCTTGGCAAACACAGAGCAAGCAGCAAGACAACGGACACTGTGGGACGCGGTTGGGGACAGCGTGTCCCCGTGCAGGCCCCTCCCTCAGCGGGGGGAACCGACCCCAGGGCCCACCGAGGGCACCAGAGCCCCTCGATCCTACCCCGGCCTGGCTCCCCCCGGGACCGTCCCACAGATGGAACAGTGCTCCCCCCCACCCTCTCCAGGGGGACTCCCCTCGCCCCACAGAGAGCCCCCCACATCAGGACATTCCCCAGGCCTGTCCCCGCCTGTTGAGCCCCTCCCCACCCCTCAGCCCACGCTGTCCCCAAACCTCCTGTGAGGCCCAGGCCGCGTCCCGCCCGGGGCCCACCGGGCCGCCCCCGCCCCTCACCGGCGGCAGCGGCTCGTGCCGGCAGCCCCGCCCCCGCCCGCGCGGGGGCACTTACAACGCACGCGCTGACCGAGCGCGGGGCCTTCCGTGCACGTGACCGGCCCGCGGGGCGGGGCGAAGGCGCAGGCCGCGATTGGGTGAGGGTAAGGGGCGGGGAGCGGGCGGAGACACGGCGGGGCCTACAAGGGGCGTGAGCCCGAATGGGCGCGGTCCAGAAAGAGGCGAGGCAGGAAAATGGGGTGGGGCCAGAGGGGGCGAGACCGTGCGGGAAAGGGGCGCGTCCAGGAAAGGCAGGAGCGGAGCGGGAACGGAGCAGAGGCGGGGACAGGGTGACGGCACCGATCGCGATTGGGCCACGGGGAGAACGGGGCAGAGGCGGGGCCTTGCGGGGCCACGGGCGAGGCAATGGGGGCGGGGCCGTGGGGAGGCGGGACGTGGGCGCTGCACGGAAGGGGCGGGGCCACACGGGGCGGAGCGATGACGTCACTCATTCAGTGGCAGAGAGTGAGCGGGATCTTTGCGCATGCGTGGGAGGGGGTAAGGCAGGCGCACGTGACCTCCCGCTCCGATCCCCCTCAGTCTCGGGTCCCCCGGATGCCCCCCCCAGCCCCGGGGTCCCGTCGGGATTCGGCTGTGTTAATACGGGGATATTGGTGTGACCTGGGCTATACGGACAGTGAGAGCTGCTTCTCGCTCCCGAAAGGTGTCAGGCCACGCCGGCCCATCCTCTGGCCTCGCCGGAGACACGGAGTGGGGTGTTGGGTCTCTCAGTGCAGAGGCCATGAAGATTAACAAGGACACGGTGCTGCGAGGAAAGAAGGTGACGCTGGTGCCCTACACCTCTGCACACGTGCCCCGGTACGTGCTCCATGCCTTCCTCGGACCCTCCTGCATGGTCTGATCCGCTTCTCCCCTTGAGGACGGTGCTGGGTTCAGGAAAGGTGTTGTCTGCCAGCTGCATGGCCCGCTTCCCCCTGTGAATCCATCAGCGAGGTGCCCTCCGTGCCCGGCAGCACCAGCCCTGTCAGGACTGTGCTCTGTGCCAGCTCTGCTGTCAGGGAGAACTTCACCTGTGCCACTGGAAATACCTGGCTGTGAGTGAACACAGCACTCTGCTCATTGAGGTCTTTCCCTGGTGATGCAGGAAGAGCAAAGCTTCGTTTAAAGCCAGGTGGATGTTTGATAAATTAGGCGTGCCAACAGTTTGTAAAGTAAATCAGAACAAAGCATTAGTGTTTTGTCAGTGTCCAGGAGGTGCTGTGTCAGTGTCGCTCGGGATGAAATGCACCAGAACTCAGAAACGTCAGGTGTGCATTGGGCACTCCAGACAAAGCCACAGGATGGGCAAACTTCCTAAATTTCCAGAGTGGTGTATTACATAAGGGAGAGAGGCTTGTGGATACATTTTAAGTCGCCACAAAAGCCGGGCTCGTGTTTTCAGAGCTGCTTTGTGATGTCCTGACCCCTAGAGCACTGGGAGGGATCCTCCTTTGGTGCTGCAGCTGGGGCAGTGATGTGGGGCCCGGTCCATTGCCAGGTACCACGAGTGGATGCAGTCGGAGGAGCTGCAGCGACTGACAGCCTCGGAGCCCCTTAGCCTGGAGCAGGAGTACGAAATGCAGCGCAGCTGGCAGGAGGACGCTGACAGTGAGCATCTGGAATGCTTTCTGAAGGGAGGGTGGGAATGGTGAGCAGGTCCTTTCCATTCTGGGAAGGACCCACAATGAGCTGGGAGTACCCTGTGAGTGGGTTCCCCTAAACCAGAGGGGATGTGAGATTTTCTACAACAGCTTGAACTGTTTTTCTCATTACAGCTGGTATATATTCAGGGAAGGGGAGAATATCCACTTCCTCGAGCTGTTTGCATCCTTTTAATGCAGTTTCCCAGAGACTAGTGATTCATTTTGCACAGAATTTTGTGCTGAGCTAAAAAACATTAAGCATCACTCCTGCACAGCCAACACTCCCCAGGTCTGATTGCTGAAAAAAGGTGGAAGGAGGTTGTATTTCCCCTAGATAAATTGAATTATTTTATGACCACCTGGTTGAGGTGTGTTGGTTGAATTGGTTCCCTGACTCTCCTACAGGTAATGAATCACTGCCTATAAAAGCCTGGTAGAAATTTAGTAAGCTGGAAAATACTGAAGCTGGCAAAGACTTCAGTCTGGAGCATTTGTCTTAGGTGGCATCAAAAACCTTACTCAGAGCAGCAGTAACATGGACCAGGTGAATCACTCAGTCTAAGTTTCTTTTGCACCAAACAATTCTTTGGCCCAGCTTCCTGCTGAGTAAGACAAAGCATGGAGACCTCAGACATGGGAAGGAAGTTTTCCCCTTCTTTCACACGCTGTTTCTAGTCTTGGTATCTGTGTCACCCTCACAACAGGTTTTTCCAAGTATTTCTTTCATTTCTGCAGGTGGGAACAGGCACACCTGTTGTGGGAAGCCAAATTATTAACTCTTCCTTGCTGTTAACACATGAAAACTCTTGTTCCCCTGTCCATTACACACCTTTAATTTAATTCTTTGGTAATTTATGAATAATTATTAGCACACTCTGAATATGCTGCCACATTCTTGTTTTCCCCAGAGTGTACCTTTATTGTGCTGGACTCGGAGCGCTGGCCTGGGCAGGCGGAGGAGAGCTCCATGGTGGGGGATGTGAATCTCTTCCTCAACAACACCGAGGACCCAACTGTAGGCGAGATTGAAATCATGATTGCAGGTTAAGTTCTGCTTCATAGCTTGGGGCTCTGTCACTGTGGCTGTGTGCTGCAGACAGATGTTGACAGATGTTCCTGCATCAGCTTTTTATTCTCACACTTTACCCTGGCTGTTCAGCCCTGATCAGTCCATGGTGTGTCCAGGTCACAGCCTCTTCTGAGAAGTGTCTGGTGTGGCTGGTTTTTCTCCCCTGACTGGATGCTGACTCTGTGCTGTCTCTTTCAGAGCCCAGCTTCCGTGGCAGAGGGTTTGGCAAGGAGGCAGCTCTGCTGATGATGGCCTATGGTGAGAGTGGCTCAGTGCATGGGAACAGGGGTGTGATGGGGCTGGGATCTGGCAGCACATAATTCCCAGTGATACAAGCAGGGTAGTAAGGGATGCATCTGCCCCACAACTGGAGTCCTGTGCTTTTATAGATGTGACATGTAATAGAAGTGCCTCTCTCTCTGACTTCTCCTGCAGGAGTGAGAAAACTGGGGATCACCAAGTTTGAGGCTAAGATTGGTCAGGATAATGAAGCCAGTATCTGCATGTTCAAAAAGCTTCACTTTAAGGAGGTGCAGTAGCAGCCCATTTCCCCAGAGAATATGAGCAGCATTGCCCTGTGGCTGGGATTGAGCTGCTTTCTCTCCGTGTGCTGCAGGTTGCTGTGAGCAGCATTTTCCAGGAGGTGACGCTGAGGCTGGATGTCAGCGACCAGGAGAGACAGTGGCTCCTGGAGCAGACAAACCACGTGGAGAAGAAGAGCTACGCTGAGCTGCAACAGCCAGTTGGGGTGCTGGACACCTGACAGACACCTCCAGACACCACCTGGGTTTCCAGGGAAAATCTGGACGTTGCTGCAAGGTCTGGGTGTGGAGGACACCAGTGAGCCAACATTGGAACTATTTTCATCTGTCTCCTTCAGCTGCTTTGTCATCTTATCAACTTTGTACTTTGCTCAGCCAGCTGGGATTACTGCCTGCAAGCTGGACCTGGGGAACAGCCACTAACTCACAAGTTTGGCTACGAATGACTCTGACTTTGATGCGCTGTTCCAACAGAGCCTAAAATCACCAGCAGTTGATTCCTGGACAAGAAGAAACTTCTCCCACTGCTTTTAAATCAGGATTCATCAGCAAGCAGGTTTCATATATTGGCAGCTCAGTCTTTTTTATTCTTGAAATAAAATTTAAAAAAATCACAACAATCCGAGGTGCCTGAGCACTATATGGGGCTCAGCTGTTCTCTTTGGCAGCTCAAGAAGTGGTTTAGAAGTTGTAAAGGACAGCAGAGACTCTTTCAACCCAGTTTCCTGGGGTCTGCGAGGTTGCAGAGGGGCACTGCTGGGTCCTGGCAGGGAGAAGGCCAGATGTGGGTGAGCACAAACAAAGGGCAAGTTAATGTGATGGGAATTGTTGATATTGGCTGATCAAGACTAGAGCTGAGCCCCACCATGATGAGGAGGGTGAGATCTGCATGAGACTTCTGAGACAAACCCCCTTTATCTTCAGGGCTGTGCTCCAGATCTGAAAACTTCAGGCCAGCAGTGCTGTTGCACTTCATTTTCCATGGCTGCTTTGATGAAAGCAAGGAGAACATACTGAAAGGAGACAGGAGCTTTTTCCACCAGCTCAGGACTTGCTCTGCTGAGCCTGGAGACTCCATTTTCTGCTCTCCATAAAGATAAGGATGAATGTGGGGGAAATATCTCTTACTGGGGGGCAGATATGTTAGGCACATATATTAGGGCAGGAGTTATCCAGGCTCTGCTGCAGTAGATCTGAGATCCATGGATGAAAAAGAGGCACTTGCCTGACTCCCACTGGACAAACTTCCCTGTGCAGTTACTCAGCCTGACCCCTCCTGCCCTGTCCACACACACACACACACTGTCCACAGCAGGGAAGCTGCTGAGAGGAGAGGCCAGAAGGTAAGTATAACTGATGTTCCTGTTTTCCTATTGTAACAGCAGCTTTAATGGCTAACCCTAGACCAGAAATTATCTGTTTCAGTAACGGAGGATCAGGTAATAACTTTCAGATTTGCCCAAGGATGTTTTGGAGATTGGTAGTCTCTGGAATTTTTAGTGTTGCCGTGCCTATATTTTTAGGGCCTGGGGGCTTTAGTCTTCCAATTTTAGCTAATGTAAATACATTATTCCTGTGACTAATATTAAAGCCAAGCGTGGGAACAGTGTATCATGGCATTTTAAACAAGTATTTAGTGTGGATTTAGTTGTAGTGAAAGCTTTGTGTGGTAACAAAGTGAAGAGCAGCTCTATTTCCCGCTGGGATTACCATGACAAGGGCTACTAATCCTCCTGCTCCTCATCACCTGCTGCAGGCAGAAATGGATTCTGTCCTCCAGAACAAGATTTGCAGAACCTGCTGGGTGAACTGCTGGCTCTGGTGCTCCTTCCATGAAGCATCTCATCCCTCTGCCAGCGGAACAAAGCCAAACTGGCAGGAGAGATGTAGCTTGGCTGGGATTTGCTCCCCTAAAACCCGACCAAGGTGGGAAAAATAATTTCTTTTAGCCTCTGCTGTCAGGGGGAAGGGGCAGAGTGATCTCCTGTCGCAGCTCCCCATGCCCAGCTGGTTGCTCTGGAGCCAGCAAGGGCCCTGCTTGGCATCCCCGGTCCCCGGCAATGCCGGTGCTGCCCCGGCTCCACAGGCGGCTGGGAACAGCCTTTCCCTGGCAACCCAAAACAAAGTTGGGTCTGTCCTGGAGCTCAGCCCGCCCCAAAGGCTGGGGGGAGAGTCCCAGTACAGCTCAAACAGGGTTCCCACAGGGAACCAGTGCCCAGCTGCACTGAGCAGGCCAAGAGGCAAAAGATGCTGCTGGGACCCACTGGCTGCCCCCCACTCCTGCCCTGCATGGGCTGCCCCACCCTGTAGCATCCATGCCAGGTAGGAGTGTCCTGCTGCCCCAATGGGATGAGGATGGGAAAATAGGGGATGGGGGCTCACCTTCCCTCAGAGGACATGTCTTTGGAGGATGAGACAGGTTGGAATGGGCTCCCCCAGCTTCCAGGAGGAAGTGACAGCCTGCACATCCCCTGGAAATCTAGTGCCACTTTGACACTTGGTGTCATTTGAGATGCAAAGATCTGTGACCATTTCTGTGCTCAGGTTAGAAGAGTTTATTTGCAGATTTGGAGCACAAAACAAGAGTGTGCAGAAGGGGAAGAAGCAAAGATACCAGACAGAGGCAATGCACAGCCCTGCCTTGTCCTGCTGAGCCACCCAGGGCTACATCCATTCATTCAGAGGGACAAGCACCCCTCTTCTCATGGATTCCCCCCCTGCCTTCCCTCAACCCAGGTGCAACCCAGGCTCATCCCAAAAACCCCTATAGGGACTGGGGGCACATCTGGGCTCCCCCAACAGAGCCACTGCCCTCCAGCCTGGCTGGCAGACCCAGATTAGAGCTTTGCTTCACCCTCCCCCCTTCCCCTGCACTCCCCGGGGGATTAAAGCCCATTAATCACCCTGAGGCATTAACCCCCACCGGGACCAGCTGGTGCCTCCCCAACCCCCTCAACCTGTCCCCATCAGGTGCTGAGGGGTTACCAAACCAGGCCCAGTGTCCCCCAGTTACCTCTCTTTCCCCTAAGCCCCTGGCCACAGCAAGCCTTCTGCACCCCCTCAGGCTCTGGAAGAATTTAGACTTAAACCAGACTTGTGAAGTCAGAAAGGTTTATTCCAGTAAACAGAATTTCTCTTGAGCTCAACAGTACAACAACACCTGATTGTAGCACATGGAAACAAAACACCCACAGGAAGAATTTCCACAAAATAAAGTTAAAAAAAAAAAGTGATTGGAAAAACACTTATTTCAGAAAAAAAAAAAGTCTATAAGAAGCTTTTAAATTAAACAGTGTTGGATTCAAACCCTGATTGGCTCTGTCTCCAGGAGTGTGTGGGAGCAAAGGAGACTATTATTGCTTGCTGTGCTGGCTCCAGGCACCCTCTCCTCTCCCAAAATTGCCCCAGGGCAGGGTGCTGGGCACTTCCCAATGCTGGACACCTGCACCCCTCCCTGCAGCTGGGGAGGCAGAGGGACATTGTGGACGGAGCTTGCCAGGTCAGGGTCACACACCCCGGCTGTGGTCAGTGGCTGGGCAGGTGGGATATGGTAGAAGACACTAAAAGCCTCATATTTTGCAGTTAAAGGATAATTTGGGGGGATATCAAATGGAGATGGGATTTGGGATGGGGAAAAAAACAGGGAACAGTGGGGACTGTAGGGACCAGGAGTGTTGGGCCACCCCAAATTCTTGATCCCTCCCAAACCCCTGCTTGTGCCTACCGGGGTGTGCAGGGCTTCAAGGCAGGGCTGGAGAAGCACGCTGGGGATGAGCTTTTGGGAGAGGGCACCCCCAGCATCCACATCCCAGAACCGCTCTGCAGGGATGCTCAGTGGCCACCAAACCCCAGCACTTGAGTCAGGGTGGTAGGGAGCAGCCCCACATCTCCACCAGGAGCCCATGGCAGGGAGGAGAGGAGTGCAGGAGAGGTGGATATGGGGCTGGGGAGGGCCAGAAGACCCTCACCCTGCCTCAGGGCCTTTACAGGTTGCTGAACAGTTCATTTTTCTTGCTCCAGTCCATCTGGGGTGCTCTCTTGCTGGTGCGCTTCTGGTGTGCCCGCTCCTTGGCCACGGCCAGCGGGATGTCGAGGTCCAGGAGGGAGCCAGATGCTGAATGGTGTTTATCACCCTCCTGTGTTTGAGGCTGGGGATGAGAGGAGGTGTCAGCCCCACTGTGTGTCCCCTGGACAGACCCATGCTGGGGGCTCAGCCCAGCTCCTGCTTTCCAGCCACTGCCCCCCTCCGGCATCCCCAGCCCTACCTCGCTGTGGGTCTCGCTGGAGTTGGGGGACACGGCCAGTGGTGCCGGGCTGGATGGGCTCTCAGACACCGAGTTGGATTGTGGCTCTCCACCATTTTCCTGGGGGGAGCAGGGAGGGAGTGTGAGCTCCAGCCCTGGGGCTTGAGAACAGCCTCCAGAACTGCAAGTCCCATCCAGGGGGCCATCCTCCTAACACATAATCCTCTGTAAACTCCAGGCACATAAATACCTCTAGCACTGCCCATCCAGGGCGGGGAAGGATTAAACCCTGGCCTGACTGCCCTGGCTTTAGCAAGAGCAGGAGAAGGAGAAGGAGGGTAGCTGCAGAGCTTGGTTCTACTCTCCTACTGCAGCATGAGGGCTCCCAACCCTGGAGCATCAGAAGGCAAAAGAGATGAGGAGAACAGCCACCTCCATGACACTCAACACCACAAGCATCCCCCTTTCTGGAGGACACCAGTTCCCTTCCCAGTGGCAGCCTGAGACCACTGTGGTGTCTGGTGGCATCACCCACCCATGGGCAGAGGGGACATGAACAGGAGTGTCCCTGACTGGAGATGGGCATAGGTGGAATTAAAATCAAGACAAGGCTCTTACCTTCCCTATATCACCATTGGCAACTGGTTCTGGCAAGGGACCTGTGGGATAAGCATCAGGTGAGGATGTGTTTGCTTTGACCCCTTGCCAATGGAGGGCAAGCCAGGGCTGTACCATGGCCAAGGCTCACACAACACTGCCCAGGGTGTGGCCAGGTCCTGAGTTTTTTAACCACCCACTGCAGCCAGCCCCATGGCACAGGGGAATGCTGCCAGACACATCCCCATGATGGCAGCTGTGATGTGGAGCCCAGTGAGCCCCCTTCCCCATACTCCTGGGGAGAGGGCCATAGAGGAGAGCAAAGGGCAGCTGATGCTTGTTTGCTCCCCAAGCCATAAACCCTGCCAAAGTGCAACCCAGGGCCATAAACGTGCCCATGTCAGCCCCACCAGCCTGGCATGGGGCCCTTAGCCAGGCAGGGAGACACCAAAGCCAGATGACTCTGCTTGGCCTGAGGGTGGTAAGACCACCTCCCAGAGCTCAGCACCCTTAGGTTTGGTGAGAAGGTGACAGAGCCAGCAGAGGTGGCACAAACCCCTCCCAGTAGCACAGTCCCCAGCCTACCTGTCAGATGCTTCTCTGAGGGCACCACCTTGCACTTCTTGAAGAATTCATCTGTGAGGACATCCACCACCAGCAGCCTGGTCTCATCACCACTCGCCTTGATAGCTGCCACCACATCACTGTGCTGCTTGCCCTCCATGCACACACCATTCACCTGCAGGCACCACATCACCACTGGAG